TTGCAAGGCTTCGGGGGTTAGACTTGTTTTGTTTGTCAACTCTTACGATGCGCTTCTTGGTACATTCGCTTTAAATGCTGCTTTCCACTAGCCTCGAAGCACCGAGGAGTCTCCACCCAAAATACACAGGGTGGCAAGTTCTACACATGATGTTCTACGCAAAGAACAAGCTATAGAACGGTTCTTGAGATCGCCACACCCCTAGTAGATCAATGTGAAACACCACGCTCCTCCGTTGTTAGCTTATTGTCGTCGCGATCGATGCGGAGTGGAACGATTCTGGAGCACGCTTCCAAGGGAACCAATTCAAGGTAGGGACCCGCGCACGTTGGCGAAACGGCACGGCAGCTTTTGTGTTGCTGCCAAGCCACCCGAAGGCAGGCCAATCCTTGTTTAGGCTTGACGAACCCGTCTGTTCTCTGGCGATCTTGCCTCACCCTATGATCTGAAGGACATCGAGGAGGAGACGGAGGAAGAGGAGGAGGAGGAAGAAGAGGAGGAGGACAGTGACGATGAGGACGAGGACTTCACCGCGTGGTACCAGAGGGAGATCATCGAGAAAGCATTGGAAAGGGACGAGGGAGAGGAGGCGGGAGAGGTGGCGGCAAACGTGGAGGGACACGAGACGGCGTGGTACGGGAGGGACATGTCGGAGGAAGAGGAGGAGGGAGAACAAGACGAGGAGGAAGAGGAAGAGGAGGAGGAGCTGCGCGCTGAAGAGCTCTACGACGAGGAGTGGTACGAGGAGCTGGGATACCCGGGCGAGGACCTGGGCCAAAATGTGAGAGGACAAACGCACTTACATTCACCTCACATAGAAGCTGGTATTGTTGTTGCATAAGTACTTTGTTGCGTCCTTTTGCCGCGTGCAGGTGTGTTGCGGCGAAGGATTGTGGGGGAAACGAATGCACCAATCGGGATGTTGAATGAAGGTTTAGGGAGCGATGGAAGGCCGAAGCATTTTGGATGCATCCATGTCTGAACGAGGGAAGTATGCAAGTAATGGGTCGCGGTGAAACGTTCATGACGCAACAGTAGGGACATGTGACGGGTTTTCCTTTGTGGCGTAACCCCGATGTCGATAACGATGGTCCAGTCTTCCACCCCTGCTTCGTCTTTTCTTGTTTTGCCTAGGATAGCCGCACATGTGGTATCTTGACCTTTGATCAAATCACGCCGGCCGGCATCTTGGTCCCACGCTTTTTTCTATTCTGTTGTATGTCGTATTGTTTCGTCACGTGTTGGTCCCGTCTCGTTTATCCCAAGGGACCCTCTTCTTGCGGTGTCTCATGTACGCCCTCCCGAAAATCAAACATTAACAATTGATACTAGGTGTTTTGACGTATTCGAGGATGGATTTTTTTTGTTGTTCTTTTCCACGGACCAAACCGAAACGTTCGCCGTTGCTCGCACACCGCCCGGTGGTGGTACTCGTTGTCTATGCAACGAATGTTTTTTTGTATGAAGGATCAGGCGGTGATGGCGAGCGGAGGAGAAGGAGGAGGCGTTCTTTCCTCCCCTGTTCTTGTCCCGGAGGCACTGTCGGTGGGTCTGGCGGCCGTAGACAAGGCAGCCGCCGTCAACATGTCTCCGGCGGCTCTCAACACCAAGGTTTGTCTATTGACAGTCCCGCGGTCGATGGAGTGCAACAGACGTAAGGGTTGTCGTCGAACATCGGCGTTCTGCTTGTCATGGGTGGGTGAGGTGCATGCCGCGGGCTCCCTGTTTTTCCTCTCCTCTCTTCAACGGCCGTTTTTTTTGTTGTCCAAGTTTTCGACGGCACCCTGTGCTTCACGTCACATATGGTTTTTGCTCTCGATCCTCTCGTCATTGTGACGGTAGAAAGCAGCCAGCAACTTGTTGGTCGTATCTTCGTAGCATATCTTACCACGTGTGATGTTATGTGTTCACACGAAAATGGAAATCGTCTTCGACGGCTTGTCTGTGAGGAGATGAGAGATGGGACCCCCTTTTTATGTCACGTCCACACGATGTACTTCTGTACGACTTTTTTGTTTTACGGTTCCGGTCGCGCCCGCGCCCGCTCGCACGATGGCCTTGGCCGGCCGCTGAGCAACAACAGACCGCTAATCCAGAAAAACAACGCGCTAGTTCGTGGGGGGCGGGTGTGCTAGTCTGAGTACGGGCGTTTGAAGGAACGGTGTTCTTTGGTTTTCAAGCTCCGTGAAAGTCCGTGAAATTTGGGTCCATACAAGTACTGTCTGTATGTTTGCATGCGCACTGTGTCGACAGCAAGAAATATGAGTGTCACGTTTCTTTTGCGTCTTGCCTCGCGCTCCCCCAGCGTGACGTCACGTCGAAACAACACGTCCGCAAGACCGGCTCGGGTTCGTCGCGCCCGGTCAACAGCAGAGTCAGCAGAACGGGGGCCCGGGTCAAGAAGACCACCAAGGAGAAGGAGGAGGAGGACGCCGCCGCCGCTGTCGCCGCGGCTGCGGGCGGCGAGGGGGCCTACCAGCTGTTCGCCCGGCTGGTGGGGGTGGGCTCGCTTGGCGCGCCGTTGTGACCCCGCTGAACCCGTTGCTATCGTACAGCAACAGCAGCAACAACAGCAGCAGCAGCAGCAAAGGCTGTGTCGTTTCTTCCTTCAAGAACGACCGGCGGGCGGTGGTGGTTGAAAGTTGCACGCTGTTTTTTTGGAAATGGATGGGTACTACTAGGTTTATGCGCCTTCGGCTGCTGCTGTGTTGACGGCATCCACTGCTATTCCCCACTAGCAATTCCGATGTATGCTGCTTGGCAGTTATTTATGCACATGTTTGCACAAGAGAAAAAAAAAAAAGTAAAATTGCTGATTATCTCAGGCAGGCGAGGAGTGCAAGGTATTTGCACCCGGTCTTTGTGGAGTTCCGGATGGTTAGCCTGTCTGTTACATGTGACACGTGCGGCATTTCATTTCGTCGCAAGATTTAAGATTGTACGCGAGATGAAGAAACTCTCGAAAGGTGACAGGGTGTAATCATGGCGATGACTTGAGAGAGAGAGGGTAACAAGACCGCTCAAAGGGTAAAATATCCAAAGCCGGGGGAGGGGGGGGGGG